GATTAATTATGATTTCTTTAGCCTTTGAGCTGTGTCATATATCGCCTAATTGATTTCCAATTTTAGATTTTTTTAATTTTTAATACGGCTTAGATGTTGAAAAGTAGTATGAAAAAACCTTACCAGCCTTGTTCGTCTAATGAGTAAATTTTTACTCTTTTCTCTGCTTATCAGAAAAATTTTCAGTTATCGATTGAAATATTGAAAATATTACAATACAGAATAATATAACTTCACTGATAAACTTTTACATATTTGCAATAAATTATGCAAATACTTACAGAATGAAAAAATTAAAAAGGAAAAAGCTTTTGAAGTAAAAATGTTGAATCTATTATTTTTAAAGCAAAATTTGCATAAAACTGTGAACTTAAAAAATGCACGAGACGTACAACTTCTGCTCAGTTCTAAAGGTTAAAAATGCTAATGATTGCTGCGAAAAGTGTGTTGCACACGACCCTGTTTTAGTTTGCTGTCCCCGCCGCTTCTACCAGATGCAATGAAACAGATGCACATTTATTACGATTACTGTTTGGCTTTCTTGGCCAAAAAAAGTGGAGCTATCCAATTGAATGAGCTTCTTGGACATTGTGATAATTCCGAACACATATCGCTTACCAAGAAACTATGTGTAAGAACGTGCACGATTTGCACTGATGGCGAAGAATAATTACATTCATTGTTCTCCATTTGCATGATCATTTTTCTTTCTACTTTAGTCGCTCCTTCGCGTTTATTGTGAGAATTAAATACCTTAAATGATGTAAAAAAAATTTCAGCAGAAACATTAGTAACCAAGACTTTTTTAGCTGAGCTGTTAACGTAGCATAAAAAACTTTACAAAAGAAGAGTAGAAAAGGTACTAAAGGAGAAGTTTAGATCATAAAATAGTAATATAAACTTTGCATATTAGTTTGTTACTACCTCAGATAAGCTGTCAACTTTGTGAAAATTTTTTATCTCTACAGGTTAGCTCACTGTAGGGTTTTAATGTCAAAAATTATAAAATTAACGCAAATGCTAAATAGAGTGTAGCAGAAGTAACATAGATTTTAGCGTTAAAAAATATTGATATGATGGTGCAGATGATAGTTTGGATACTATATGCCCTATTCTTCAGATTCCTAGGCAAACATGAAATTAAGCACACAATAAACAAAACCCTTAAATTTACGAAAAAAATTTGAGTCATCGCGTTTCAACAAGGTTAATTGTTAAGAGTAAGAATACGGCCAAAGCGAAACTAAAAAAGCAATACGAGGTGCTGTATTAACTAAGTCTAACTGAATTGCTGTTACCTCATTTTACTAGCAGTTTTGCAGATAATAGTGATTTTCACTTGCTTAACACTTACGATTCGACAACAGAATCAAAACATGGTCGCAGCTGTGAGCTGTAACGTTTTTTTCATTTTCTTTTTTGGTGATAAACCAGCGCTCGTCTGGTCATATTCTTATCAGTGACTACAATCTCTTTCATAAAAAAAAGGCTTTTTTTTTTTTTTGCTATGAACAGGTGACCATCTCCACGCACTTTTGACTGCTGAAGTGCTTCAGCGTCAGTATCAACACTTGCTGTCGGTCTCAAAATATTATAGCAATATGTCAACAGTAGCAGTATGAGAAAAATGGTTTTTACGAATACTACCAGAGGTGTGTTCTTTTCTACTTCACTAGTTGATTAGAGTAACGTGACAATAAATGCCACGAGAGCTAACAAGCTTTTTAGAGTTGAATTAAAAGCTCACCAAATACTATAAAAAGAATAGAAGAAAGTGCGTATAATTTGAAGTTTTTAAGGGCGTTTTTTCAGTGTTTCTTTTCATGCGCGCTTTTCAAAAGAAACTAAATTGAATACTTCTATAGAAACTTGCGAGTCCATGCAGGCCTAAATAAGTGGAGCAAAGTGTCGGTTGGCAGAACAGACCGGCAGAACATCCTTCAGCAACACTTAGTTGAGATTACCGCGGTACAAATCACACTTTAAAACTTCAAATATTGCAAATTTCACGAATTTATATAGATAAAGAGTAGGTGATATTTTCGGCTACTCATCTAGCAGAACAAAAAAAAACTAAAGATGCTGCATTATATTCAACAGCCGATACAATTTTTAATACATATCTTCCACTTTTTTATTTCTACTATCATATGCTGAACAGAGCAATTTGAAGTCTATAAGTTTTAGTAGTTATTCAACAATACCCTCATACGTCAAATGGAGCAGAAATGATCTACATATAAATCTCTAAAATTCATCTTAAATACATTCATATATCAATTTGGTTTGGTCAGCTTTAATTCACGAAATTTCACTAGAACT